GACAAAAGAAGAATCAAATTTGGATGTGAATTGATTTATGAGTATGGGTATAGACTCACAACTCCGCATTTCACCCTTGACAAAAATACCAACCAGAAAAAGTTGGTATGGTAAAATATATCATTGAATGCATAGCTCTACCTATACTCTCGAAACCTTGACCCAGAGTATAAGCTTCATTACGACATTCTAGTGACTCGTCTTTGCGTAGCACTCAAACGATCGGCAGCTTTATATAGCTCTTGAAGGGTAACAGATTCAACCATCGGTAGTAATACTCGAGCAATACGAGCGTAAACCACTTTTTCATACTACCGCAAGACGTAGCTAGGTTAGTATTTTTATTTATGGAAACCAGCATCTAAATGATATTGATAACTGAATCTTTAACCGAAGAAAAAGAATCAAATCCAATAAAAAAAGAAAACACAATGACATCACGATGAAAATTCTAAACAAAATGCAATAATTAAGTAGAAGCAGGTAAAGAAAAATACAATTATTAAATGAAGAAAAACTTTAAATATACTTCCCGAATAAAATAAAGAAACAAAAAAGAGGGTAAAAAATAACAAACTGAATCAACAACATGCGTCCCAGAAAGCTAAACCTGAGTTTCATAACAAATGTAATATATCAAATGACTACACTTTTGTCTTCACTTGTTGAAACAAATCTCAGAACATATCTTACGGTCAATTCCTGCGGGCCAGTCTCATGTCTAGACACCCAAATTTATCATTTTAATAATATTAACGTTTATTATTTCCACCATGGCATGATTCTACGAACTTCATTATATTGACTACGAAAACGAATATTTTAAGAGAAGACGTTAAAAAAACACTACACCACTCAATGTCTAGCAACAGTGGCGTAGCTAGCACAGTGAAAAATGATAGAGTTACAGATTAGTTTTGATTCTACTTAAACTACCAAAAATTAATCATCAGAATCAAAACAAAAAAATTAATTGGTTGATTTCACGTGATAAGTGATCATTGATCTGATTGGTTAATTAAAGCTTAAATCTGTTTCACTTGCATTATGGATGACACCTATTCTAAATCAATTGATATAGTTATTGGATGCTTCGCATCCAATAAGTTATAGTAATTGTATGGGTTGTAGAAATTAACTAAATTTGCACAGATTAACCAGTTCCACATAGCCGAAGGCCATGTGAAATGGGTTGACCCTTGCAAATTTAGTTATTTTATGCAATCCCATACAATAACTATATTATTGCATAGGTCTGATGTAACAACCCGTGTGACACCTTTCACATTAATAAAAGGACAATTTCAATGTTGATATTATGAAGGCTCTGTCTATATAAGTAAAGATATCTCTCTTTATATGAATGTTTTCCAAATCTTTCTTGATTTAAGCTTTTACCAACAGGGCAGCTTAGGGTATAGAAATATGGGACAGAAGGGTTGGATACCATATTGACAAGTTTCTCAATCATTTTTTTATTAAAATGGACTTTTTGGCAAAGAACAATATCATATCGTCAAAGAATATTAATAATGATTTTTATTATATCATCATTTTCTAACTTTTTAGAACCAAATGCTTGGATATTAAAAGCTCCAATCAAACTAATTCCATCTTTGAATGTGTAAGAATTTAATAGTTGTGAAGGAAATTTTTTTAATAAATTATCTTCGGTTACAATATCTATTACTTTTTTTTTTGTCTTTTTTCTTTTTTGGATCTTTTTTTTGTTAATAATATAATTAACCATGCTTTTACGATTAATTTTGAATAATATGATAAAATATATTTATATTGAAAATATATATATTTTTATCTTAACAGTTACTATTAATTTTCAGTTATTTTAATTGAATGGTTAAAATTTATTTTGAAATAATTGACAAAATCTCATAAATTGATTTGAAAAGTGAATTTGGTTGCATTATCTATTGGTTTATAATTGTGGGATGATAAAACTAATTTAATAAAATAAGTTAATGACAAAGATTGTATTTAACAAGATCCTATCTCACTT